GGTTGAAACAGTTTGAAAATTTCACCGAATTTTATCGGCAGCACAAAGAAAATTCCGTGAAATTTTCAGACAGCTTCATTGAACAATTTCTCTGTGAAAAATGAAAATGAAGGCTGAAATTGTCAAACGTCGCATGGCGCTTATGATACTTTGGTGGAAGGTGACGATAATTGTTGAGTCCCGGCGGCCCTACAAAGCCTCTAAGGTGTCCAAAAAAATTATAGATTGAACCTCTTTTGTCTATATATCCCTATACCTATTTATATATTTTATTAAAAACGGACTCAGAAAAGGGATTAATAGAAATTCGGGCCATAAATCACCAAACCGCAGAGTCAGGTTAATCAAAACTCCAAGTTGAAATTACCATTCTTGAAGAGATGGCAACTTTTTCATTTTTGTTCTCCGGCGTCCCGGCCAACTGCACTTAAGAAGTAGAAAAGTTAAATTCCAAAAAATGAACAATAATCCTGTCAGTTTGACGGGAAATCTCAAACTTATTGTAAGTGGGAAAACAGATTTGCAGTGGTAGGTGAGAGATGAAGTGGAGAGTAAACTAATGCGAAAAACAGAATGAAAATGGAAGGAGAAAAAACAAATTTCAGGCGGGAAAAACTCGCGAAATTAGGTGAAAGTCGCGGAAAGGGACACGAGCCCCCTACTGGCAAAGGCGATGTTCGACTGGATGGGAAATCGGGAAAACACGCGCGATAAGGATATTGGTTCACCACTGTGTTGCCACATTTTCCATATTAGAAAGTTGGATTGAATCAAGAGTATTTTTTCTTGTCAAAGTTTTTAGGAGTCTGGACTTTAGATCCAAGCTACTTTTTTTTCCAGTGTATGTACCTCATTTGCATATTCGTGTTTGCCGTCGCAAGGAAGAGAGCCGTGCATGCAAAAATTGGGATTTTCAGCTTTTCAAAAAAAGTAAAACTGAGAAATTAGGAAATGTGCATTGCAATTATGACCTCTTACAGTGCGACCTTCTGAATGCGAATGTACATTCTTTTGACTTTTTTATGTCATGTATATTATTATTCAAGCTTTCAGAGAATGTATTGCCAATTTTGTAGTGAAATTTAAAAAAAGTAAAATTTAAGTAAATTTGAACGGAAAAAGTGTTGAAAAGTCTGAAAATATCACTAGTTTTTTTTAACATTTTTCCAAATATTTTTAGTGTTGAAAAACTACAGTTGATATTTTCAGAGTTTTTAGCTCTTTTTTACTTAAAGTTTACCGCTCGTAAATTTTACTTGGCCCAAAAAGGGTTTCTCAAAACAAAAATTTTATTTGTTGTCTTTGGAAATTTAAGAGTTTTTTACATAAAAAATTAACAGTCGTCTCTACTATGTATTCGTGATTTTTTTTTCTCCTTTTTTTCTTTAATAAGAAATGAGAGGGAGCTTACAAGATCGTAATCTGAAATATGTATTTATCGAATGTAGCCATCTCTTTGCTATTATTTCTTTCTGCGAGATAGTTACGTCAATCTAAATAAATCGGTATCCAATGCGACTTGGCAGCGCTGGAGAAGCATGGCCGGCCAATTTTTTTCCCAGTGCCAGGCTGACGTTGATCCATCCAATCGGTGGCAGTGCCGTATTGTACCTACCACTGAAACCCTTACGACGACGCTTTTCCCGATTTCGTCCCCCGATACATAATTGTTCGCATTTTTCATATCTCCGTCGAGCCATGCACGGAATCCTGTCATCGCGTTGCCAGTTCGTGGGTCTCAACCGCTCCCCCACGGTGGTTATCGCGGAGGAGCGCTCTAAGGCGCGAGATACAACTATTTCGACACGAGAGAGCGCGTATAGTATACCTTGTCAATTGAAGGCGAAACATGCCTTGATTAAATCGCTGATTGCAATAAGCAAAAGAATAACTAGCGTATCAACCTCATCCTCCACATGTCTATGCATGGCTAAAGTACGGAGCCGCGCAGTGGCGAGGCGTGAATGATCGATTATCGATATTTCCCTATTTGGAGCTATGGTAAAGAATCGATTATTAAGGTGTTCGCTGCGAACACCCTGTTTATCGATCTTTTTTCATAGGTTTAAATGGCATAACAATCGATGTATCGCAAAGCACGCCACACCACTGGAACCGCGCTTCTCCGTTTACGACGTTACAGACTATTCTGCCGTACTAAGGAAAAACGCCGTATGAGCCTTCGGGCGTTGCCAAATTTCCTCCGCGATAAAATACGAATTTTCAAGTAATCTGTTGGATATTTCTCTTCAAAATTTTTGGAGAATTTTTTACACAATTTAATCTAAGTATCTGATAATTTCAAGGAACAATATGCATAAATTACCTTAAAAATAAATGTTGTATCCGGCGAAGTTTAGCGATTCTCGAATGTTCATAAGGCGTTTTTCCTTCGCACGGCAGTATTCTTGTCATGTAATTTTTTCTCCATTTGCGACGTTGCGGACTTCCTGCCATACTTTATTTTTTCTTTGGAAAATGAGTCAATGCAATACGAGCATCTTGAAAACTCCCTTGATTTTCCCTCTCGTTCAGCAGAATATATATCCTGTATGAATTTCAAGCTATGAGGTTGACTTGTTTCTCTTCGAAAAAATGGAACAGGGGCGGGAATTTTGAAATATGGCAATGGAGATACGTGGTTTCGCACTTTGGCCTTCTATTTTCAAAAATGACAGGTCCAATATGTGAGTGAGGAACTGACGTTACCTACTCACGATCAATGAAAAAAATGTCACGTTAATTAATTCTGGGGTGTTTTACAACCCGGCGGTTTTAATTGGGAGGAAACCATTCTTATAGATAAAAAACACATTTTTATCCGAAGAGAACGAACATTTTTAAAATTTGTTTACAATAATCTCCGAAGAGATGTAACCGCATTCTCGGTCTCACAAAATGGGTGCATTTCTTCTTGGTGACCATATTTGTGCTGTATGTTGCATATGCGAGATAATGAAGGCGTTTTCAGTTGGTTTTCCATACCTCCACGGATTTTTACATATGAGAAAACGTTTTTTTAATTTTTATCTCGTCTATTTTGCCATGCTAAGGAAGAGCGCCGTATGAACCTTCAGGCGTTGCCAAATTTCCTTTGATAAAACTCGAATTTCCTGGTAAACATATGAATATTTTTCTTCCAGTTTTTCAGATAATTTTGCTCGCAATTCCACCGAAAAGTCCTGAAAAATTCGAGGAAAAATATTCACATCTTTCTTTGCGAATGAACATTTTATCGAAGGGAATTTGGCAACTCTCGTATGTTCATACGGCGTTCTTCCCTAGCACGGCGCAGTATTGGTCCATTGACGAAATGCCCTTTTCAAAGGTGCCCAAGTTGGCAAAGGCGTTTACCGTGACGAGTTGAGCTCCTCGGTCAAATTATCGACGGAAATTCGTCGTCGATTTCCAGCGGTTCATATCTCTGCCTCATCTCGTTTCTTCCTTTTCACTTATTGTTTTCCTTTCGTTCTCGAGGGCACACGCAAGTCCTTTTTCCGAGGCCACCAGGCTTACAGTAGGCGATTGGTAATTGGAAAAATAAGAAAGATACGTTTCGACTCGTGCACTTAATTATCCCAGCAACGGAACTAAACTTTCGTCATGCAAAACTAACTGCGTACAGCCTACCTACTGCTTGAACGAAATGAAATGTTACATCAATGAGAGCGAATATTACTGGACTTCGAAGTTTTGAAATGTATGTATAACAGTCTACACCAAAAGGAGTCTCGTTCTCTGAGCTCAAAGTTGAATAGCTTGTTTCAAAAAGTGTCCGTCTCTGAGAGGGAGAATCCAGAATCCAAAGGGTGTCTAGTTTTTTGTTTTTTTTTTTTTTCATTTTACGAAATCCTGATTTTTCCTGATTTTTTACTGCTAAATCCTGATTTCATAATTTTTCCAAATCCTGATTTTTTTGCGGGGAAAAATTAAAATGTCTTCATAAGCGTGTGCCAAAACAACCCAATAACTAAGTTCTGAGGACTTTTCTCAAATCCTGATTTTACGACCGGCTTTTTTCTTAAATCCTGATGAAATCGGGATTAAATCCTGATTGACCTCAAATCCTGATAGAATCAGGAAAATCCCGATCTAAAAAACGAATGAAATTGAATTCAGCTGAAAAATTGTCTATGAATGGCGCGTGTTATTCAGTTCCCAAAAGAGCTTCGTGGCCGAAAACATGAACCTTTCCGGTCCTTGAGTAGTATAATATGAATATTCTTGAAACTGGGTAGGTACTTCAACAAGCAAATAAGAATTCATGCCTATCTTTTCAAAGTACGAAAAATTAAAAATTGAAAATAATTGAAAAGAGAAAGAAAAGTAGCGGGTGAGACTGAATACAACTTTTCTGCAGTTAAATAGAATTCCATAAGTATATCCCAATTCCCAGAGTCACGCAGTTTTCGAGGCAAGACATTCATGAGCTGTAGGTGTCACAGCTTAGATAAATATTTTTGGCACAAAAAAACCCAAATTTTTGACAGTTATAAGTTTTAATTTCAAAAAAATGTTGAGAATATAGAAGCAGGTGAGACAAACAAAACCATTGTAACCATTTAAGAATCTTGCCTGCTCTGGACTAGGTCTGTGAAAACGTAATCACTGATCAGAATGGGTTAATTTGTTTGGAGTATCGGTAGCTAAAGTTAAATAATATGTGACTTGATTGTGACATTTAAAAATCTGCAGTTAGGTATGTTTTATGTTTTGAAAAGAAAACTAACCATAATGCTTCCTTGAAATTCTACAAGAATATTTTTAAGAAAAGAGAACAATTTTAAAAAAAAAAAATGTTTAAGAGAAACTTTATGGGTTACTTTTCGCAGAGAAAAATGAAGTGTGATCAAATACGAGTATTTGCAACGTCACAATTGGAGATACATGCACATTTTTTTTGCTTTAGCCATCGATATCTGACTGTTACCTAAAGAGTCGGAGCCCAAGCGGATTATGGTTGACAGGGTGACATTCCTTTGAAGAAAAAAATAGCTGGATCAGGTTTTAACATTTATTGTAATAGATGCATTTTTCAACTATGAACAAAAATTGAATAGAGGGTAAAATTTAAAAAAAAAAGAGGAAAATCTGTGCGGAGTTGAAGTCATAAAATACGTACAAGAATATAGTTAAGGCACAACGAAATATACAATCTTGTATTAAATTTGTGAAACTATACCTATATTCGGCGTAGCAAGATTTTTAGTGGATATATTAAGGATGGATTGCATGGACGGTCAATTGCAAGATTTGGACATCAGTAAGAGAAAAAAACAAGGACGTAATTAAGTAAGTAAAAATAATTTGAGTCATCCACATGACGTCATATTCTACACAAAGGAAGGTATCTGAATTGCACTGTTTCACCATTCCTTAATGACATTTTATTTTTTTAAAGAAAAACCGTGGCATGAATTTTTATTTTTTAACAGAAGAACTGATATATGAATTGACCTAAAATTGTTATTGATTTTTCCTTACAATTGTTAGAGAACACTCGAAAATTATCAAACAAATTCGCTCGACGGATCTCTAACTGAAAAATAAAATTTTTGTAGAAATACTGAAGCAGTGCTGACAAGGTACGTTCCTTCGAGCAGGAAACGACAATGAGTTCATTTGCTATTACTCAAACAAAAATACTGATTATTTCCCCCTTCAACTATTTCCAGGTGTACTTAACTTCCTAGGTACTAAACTTAAATGAAGTAAAACATAAACACGTGCCCAAAAAGCAATAGAAGCTTACACTGATCCATACTACATCCAGAATTGCAATTAAAGGAGAATCTTAGACCAAGGATAGCTGAGCCTGGTTCTTAAAAGAGTTTGATGAAATATGAGATTTGATGTTTTGGAGAGACTTTCAGGAATCTTCTGAGAAAGGTTCAGATCTCGCCTATTAGTCTAGTAAGTAGCTCATCGATGGGAAAAGTTGTCTTTGCGTTTGAGACAGATACAAAGTTTGGTTGCAAACTCTCCAAATAAATGAAGCTAATATGGCTAATTGGGAACATGGTTTAAGGTAGGTAATCAATAAAAAAAACAATAGTGAGTAACCTAACAAATAAAACAGATCATTGAGTAAAAAAATAAATTATGGAAAAAAGATCAAAATACAAATCAATAGTTCAGCTATATACAATTCCATGCTTACAAACCTACTTACAACTAAAGAAAGGAAAAGTTGGGCGGATTTGGACTGAAGAAGCGCGATAGCACTCAAATACATAGATCACAGTAACTTGTAGATTCCAAGACTATGATTCTTGATGATTAACTTTATTTCATTGCTTGAAGAAGATAGGAAAAGAAAAGAGGAATGGACAAGAGAGAAGAAACAATGTATCTGCAGTACTATGGAATCAGATGAGAGAAAATAAAATTCATTTTAAATTGTCTGAGATAGATCATAAAAATTGATAGAGACCTGACCTAAAAAAAAGAAAATCAAAATAAGAAGTGAAGGTCTAAAGGATTGTTTCTCAACAGCGGATAAAGATGAATGAAATCGTTATTTCAACCCATTGATGAGGCACATCCTAACACTAGAAGAAATACAGTCTTGGAAGATATTCAGATCTTAATACTAGTTTTCCAGCGTGCAAACATTGAAACTTGACAATAAAAAAGAGCGGTTTTGGCTTCAATGTGCACTACATCAGCTTTGTACATAGCGAGAGCACATATTAATTTACACAGATGATTCTAAACATTCTAATTAATTAAAAGTATTTTAAAATAGAGTAAAACAAGAAGATATGTTGTTTTCATTTGTTCCTTTGTAGGAAAGCAATAGTGGCACTTTCTGAGAGCTTAAAGAGGAAGGATTTCACTTCTCTCTCTCGCATATTTCTCCGAAGGATACTGACCTGATCAATAATTGATGAAAGCAAAACCAAACGTACAGTGAGGCAAAAAAGTGGCTTATTTTTTGCCATTGTTTGGACGGAATAAATATAAAAAGAGTATTAACCTCGCAGACCCAAGTGGTTACATATTTAATTAACCATGGTGAGATTCATAACATTCAGACAAGAAAAATGCTTTGATTAGTTTGCTAGTCATGGAAACTAGAAATCAGAGAACAAATGAAAAAGAGAACACTTACAACAAAAGCGGACGGACAATTCGCAACTCTAGAAAAGGCTCAAACTTCATATATGAAGTAGAACAATGTATGGTCCAGAGCATTCATATGAGAGGTCTTTTGGAGTAAAAAATTATAACATGTAGCAACATTAATAATTCGTACATAACTACAATTAAAAGGACGGACTTTGCATTACTAATAAGGACCAAGTTAAAATTTTCTACGCTTATGTATAATACCAGATTGACAGGCCTATTTGATGGTTAAAAATAGATAGAAAGACAAAAAATGTAAAAAGTGGAAGAGGTGTGAAAGCTTGACTTGTAGATAATATTGAAATTGTGCGAGTGAATTCCAAAAAAAAACTTTGTACTTAGTTTCGTAAAATACTCTCTAATAAGCAAGATATTTGCCAGAATAAAATAACAATGAATATAATCACTCTGTAAAAGGAAATTTTTTTACTGAGAGGAATTAACTTACTTGTCTCTCTTTTTAAAAGAGAGAACTTATGAAATAATCATGCATATTTTCAATGAAACGGTTTCCACTGACTGAAAGGCATTTAGGTGGATGAAAAGGCACTAGCTAGAAGAAAACAATTTAGGATAGATGCTGTTGAATTCAAATGAAGCATGAGTGCAGCTCTTAGGCAATCAACAATAATTTGCATCGTTAAAGAATTGTGAGGTTTACCATAGTTTTAAATGGCTAAACGATCGATACATGGCAATTCACGCCACGCTACTGACTATCTATCTATCTACTTCAATCAGAGAACAGAAAATCTTAAAAATGGGAACCGTTTCCCTGAACTATGAACTTCACAAAATACATGATATAGACTGTATATGAAGTCAGCTTACGCTTCGGTTCTTTCTTATGAAGAATATGGCTACTTAGGAGTTTATCAAAAATATGTTATGTTATTTTGAGCAATGGCATCCAAGAAACATTTCCTCACGCTCTAAGAGTCTGTTAAATACATATGATTTCAGAGTAACTTTAGTTGTTATTTTAAGAATCGTTTTTGATTCACTTCACAGAAATGTTTTTTGAAACAAAATTAACAAGACCTATTGACATTAGACTGTCAAGGTCTCGGCAGTTACCAAATCGATCCATAGATCACATCCTTCGTGTCATGATGCTGATTAACATGAATCCAAGGTAAGAGAAGTTCTGTATATTGATACGACTTTGGTTCACGACTCATTATGAGTTTCATTCCAGCTATTTTCCAAAAGTCAGGTCAACAAAAGGTATATTTTTGCCGCAAGTGTAGAGAGTTGAATTGTGAAGTTAATTAGTTTGAAAATAGATACGACCTAAAAGTTCTAGAGATTAACAATAAAAAATTGATTGATGAAATTTTTTTGGGCCCCTCTTTTGACTTAAATTCAGGACTACTTAGCTTTAAAATTTGACCATGAACTCTCGAGGAATAGATCTATCTCCTTTCTCCTGTCAATTTGATTTTTTTAAAATAATTCGAGTGAAACTCGTTATTAGTCATATATTGAAGTGGGAGCAATACACAGGACTATTCACCCTGAATTCATCCCAAGTCAAAGAAAAATAATTTGAGCCTTATGATGAGAATTCCATCTTCATACGGCAAAAAAGAAAAAAAATACAATTCTGCTCCCGATGCAAGAATAAGAAATTGCGAGATGGAATCATATATGCTCCGACTCTCAATTGTAATTCTAATTACACTGCAAAAAGAAAAAAAAATAAAATAAATAACAAACTCCAGAGCTTAATGAACAAGCATTCCTATGTCACGTCACAGACGAAAATCCAAGTAAAGTGAATACATGTACACATGGACCTCAAAAGAAAGAACAATAACATTAGCAGTGATAAAATGCTAGTATCTGAAATAACTTAAAATAGCGTAAAAGCTCATGTTGAAACAAAAAAGTATGAAAATGAAGGAAGGCTTCTTATTTTTGAATCAAAGTAAATATTGAAGACTGGTGCTACATACAATGAAATCACAGGTCAATTGAGTAAGATAGGCTAAGCAGTGAAAGCCAAGGCCTGAATGAGATTTCATTTTCCCTCCGTGGTTTCTTGTCTACACAACTTTTGTCCTAATTTCTGATCTAGGACTTAAATATTTCTTTGAAGTTTTCTTCAAGTTTTCTAAAGAAGGTACCAACAGCATCAAATCATTGAATTCAAGCTTTAAATCCTTCCCCGAGTTTCGCCTGAAATTCATTTTGTGATTTATGCACAGTTTAAAGATGACACTTTAAAAATGAGCCTTCTGAGGCCCTTCTATTCTCATGAGTTCAATGAGATGGCAAACTTTTCATTGTTCACGCACAAAAATTATTAGAGTCATTAACATTATCTTCAGCGCTCAATTTAAAAAAGATTTCTCAGTTTTCTTTTGGTCAAATAAGTCCATGAAAAATTTTCCAACTTTTTCAGTTAAATATTTTGTCAAAATCTTAAAAGAATAGAAAAATAGCAGAATAAAACTAGAATGGCAGGAAAGTAGAGAAAGCTTGCTTTTCTTAAATTCAAAAAACCTTAATCAGAAACTAGATAACAACGAAAGAGCATAAACAGCTGTTTTTAAGTTATTTCCCACAGAAGGTTGTCATTGCTACTGATTTTTTACGGAGAAGAGATTCGTTGCTTTCCATTGGTGGAGTCAATAAAACTACAGCTAAAATCTAAACCTAATAAGTGTTCGTAAGCTTTAATTAATTTACATTAGACGTCGGAATGTTCAGATGGTTTCTGCATCTGCAAATCATAATCCGAATGGGCCTGCTGCCTTTTCCTTCGCTTTATGCTGTGCACCCGACTTTCAATGGTGAAGAGGAAGCCAGCCAGGTAGGTTTCAATAATTCCGATAACAGCCACTGCGTAAGACCACCCGATATTGTTGTGTTCCCAGTTGGGCATCCAGTCACGACCATCGCCATAGAGTCCGAATAAAATTAGCGCAATAGTTCCCGCAAAAGCTGAAAAATGTTGAAGTCAGTTAGTAAGTGGAATTGACGGTCATAAGTGAGTAACTGCGTCTTCGCAAAAAATTTTGTGCATTGGAAATTTAAGTACTTAAATTTCAATTTACCTTATTAGGCCTTGCATATTGACAGTGATACTGCAGAAGGACAAGTCTTGTTTGCGGTGTTTTAGAATCTTCACTCCTATTTCATCTTACTAAAGGAGAACAAACCAATGCTATCGCTTGATATTTTCAATAATATTCTTTACACAAATAAGGAAAATCAGGGAAGTTTCCAAGAAATGACATCGAGCAAATTTCCATTTAAAATATGTACAAGGTATGACAGCAATTTTGTGACATTTTAAACTAATCTGCATTTTCATGGACTTCAGAGATCATTCAGGAAGGGACATAATATTTTACCATCAACTGTTTCATACACTGTGGACTCAAATATATTTTTTGAAAAAAAAGAAAAAAATGGTCAACTCACCTGAGGCTAAAAGGTTTCCGCCAGTTATACGAAGCAGGAAGATATACTTGTCATGATGTCTACTGCAACACATGTAAGTAGTGACCAGCAAATTTGCGATGAATGCAAGGACAAAACATACCATGAAGAAAAATTCCGTGGCAATGAAAAAGCCTAAAATAAGAAGGAAAGGTAGTTAATAGTGGTGTAAAAAACACTGTGTTCAGATGAAGGTTGAATGATTTCTACTCAACAGATCAGCAACTCTTCTTTTGTTAGAGATTAAGAAATTCTAGTTTAAAAACACCAGTTCTATAGTATGTTTCGGGCTTGGCAGTAAAATAATGATGACACCAAGCAAGTCATGAGAAAATACTGACTTCCAATGGAGACTTTTTACAGACATTTTTTATTGTTACATCTAAGAATGCTTTAAGAGCTGCGTTGACAGTAATTTTCATTATAAGTTTCTGCTATAAGAAAATATAAAAAAACATATTTAAAAATGAGAAAATGTACTGCCTTGTGATGTCATCAGGTGGCACTTTCCACTGAAATACATGAGTTTTATCAGATTAGATCCTTAAGGCATATCGCCTCCAATCATTGTTCATTTTAGAAACCAGGGATATTTTCTGAGTGATTTCCTCTTAAACAACAAATTTAAAAAATTTCAGACACCTGTAAATACGTCATTGGCACTAAAAAGCATGATGTCCTTAGGAAAAACAGCTAATATGAACTAAATTTGTCATTTTTCCTTTCTTAAGTTTACTGGAGTCTCACCAAATAAGTTAAGACATTTCTAGACTGCGACAGAAGATCGTCTGACATCACTTTTACATGTAAAGTCAATGCAAGAGGGAAGAGGCAGATCTTTTGTCGCGGTCTAAAAGTGCGTAAATTTATTCGGCTTGGAATCTAACAATGCTTTCTCCAGTTTGAATAATCAAAAATGTGTTGGAAAAACTTTGGAAAAAAGCAATTGTGCAGAAACTTCCCAATTACAAAACCGACTTGTACCATGCCAGTCACATGAAATGTGAGCACCCTTGCAAGGGCTGAAAAATGAGCTGAATGATCTAACTTTTACTGAAACCAATACTTACTAGGAAACAGAAACTCATCGATTATATAATATTCTTCTTCGAAGAGAAACCAGCAGCCATAAAATTTAACATCGTGGAAATGTCGTGGATCCTCGTACCCGCTCATGCAAATCATCCATAATCCTGAAAAATCAAAATTAAGAGGTCAGGATTTAAATTTGGCCACATTTTTCAATACCCCCATCTCAAATCACACTTAATACCTACCTATTATGAAACTAAAAAATACTTTTTGTATTCTATTCACTTCTTGTCAAGAATCAAACCTGCACAAGAGATGGGTCTGGTTCAAAACCATTCTTTTGTAACTCTGACCTCATTACATCAACTGAAAATCATCATTCAAGATTGAGTCAAAGACATATACTCAACCTAGTCGTGAAGTGTCAACAGTTAGAACCCCCTCATTGTATGTTGAGACAAAAGTAAACAGTTGTTTAGGTCACCATTCATCAATGGTTCCATCTGACTCCATGTACTCTTGAGTGGAGTTGAATGAGAGATTGACATTTGTCACAACCTTAACATACAGGTGCATGACTCTGTCTTAAATTAGAGAAAACATATCTTAGGTAGCAATATCGCAGGTACATTTCATCATACTTTGCTCCTTACTCAGAAGACTGATCAACATCACTTCTTAAACACTCAGTTCAATGCATTCCACTGCAGTTTGGATAAAGCCTTCAGATGTATAGTGCATTCATCTAAAGAAGCATAGAGCTTACTTCCGTTCAATTTACATTACTTGCTCCTAAGGAATTTATTTCAGCGGTTACCGAAGGTATTTTAAAACTAATTCATGAGCGATAATCATTTCAAAAATTGACATTGATCAATCTAAGATTGAAGATTTATCACAGTTCTACCCGCAGGTAGAAAAACTGCTCTCAAGCCATGGAAACAAAGCTTCTCGCCGACTCACGAACTGTGGCTAGTATGATGTTGCTGAAGTTCATTTTTAATTTCTCTGAAAATCATGCGTAATCTATACTATACTTCCTGACAGTTCTTGAACAAGCTCCGTTCTGAAATGTTATCCCAAATGATGCATACCAACTGCGTTGACGAAGTAAACTATTTGGAAACTGAATTACCCGCTTCCAAACGGTCAGCGTTGCTGAACTGTGTCAGAATTACCCAATGACTTGTGTGTTCACATATAACAGCCTAACGTTTCTACAAAATGCTCAACGTTTTCAGAAGGTCAATGGGACCGTTTGGGTTGTGTTTGCTAACAGAAGAACCAAACAGAATCGGACAAGTTTGCTTCAACAACGCACCTACTGTTCCCTGAACGCTACGAACCATGTCAGCCTTGACAAGAGGTAGGAAGGAATTGTAGGTTTTCAGAGAAGGGGCTTCATTTTAGTGGAGTACTGAAGCAGATGCTTGTCATCGGAGGCATAAAATAGTTATATGAGCCGGCGAAAAGAGGAAAACAATACAAAGTGATAGAAAAGGGTGGAGTCCATACCCATGTTTGTAAACTTCGGTTTCTCCAACTTTCCATCTGAAACGAGCCAGTTAGGTGTCACAAACGCAAGGAGAATGAAAAATCCTCCTGTTAAAGCAAGCACCGTGGCCGCTAGGCCCGTTCGAGATTTTCCCATTGCTAATTTTTTTAAAAAAGGACACAATTCCAAAAGATTTTTGGAAATTCACTTGTTTACGTTTCGAGTTTGTTGGTCGATGAAGTTCGAGCGGTGATTCCGTTCGATCAGTTTGTGTCGCGTAGGGGGAAAAAAATCTCACATGAGATAAACAAAGCACTCACAATTTATAATCATCTTTCAAATTTTGATTTGAAAAACTCTATAAAAATAATTTCGTATAGATTAAAAGGACATATAATTTTTAAAACAATTTCAGCAACATTTACGAGCTTAAGGCGTGTTTATTATTTACGTCATCATGATTGTATTCCGTACTGAAATTCCCTGCGTTTGTTCGCATTCCCAATTTCCCACTAAATTCCCGGAATAAGTGTTTTCGTTTTCGTCCCCCTAATCTCCTTCTGCCCGACATTTCGGTTAAATTAATTTAAAAGACAGTAAAATAGTGTTTTGGTTATTCTCATGTGATTCATGTAAACATTCTCCTCCATAAGTTGTGGTTTTGGATTGGTGTAGTGTCCTGTCAGCAGCCCAAGTGTTATCAAAATGGTTTTGAAAAAGAAGGTATGGCGTTTGTTTACAACCTGAGAAGCTCTTTTTCTTTACTTTACGTACGTTTTCGAGTGCGAAGCGATCCCTTCATCATTATTTACCTTCATGAAAGTCTCAAACCCTCTAAAATTTGAGACGAGTTAACTCCTAATCCCTTAAGCTAAGCTACCAATACATTACTCTGGTTATCGGGCATCCTTCACCGAAAATCAATAGGGTTGATCCGATAGTGAAAAATCTTGTTTTTCAACAGAAAAAAGAAGCAAACCTTTAATTAAGAAAGAACTGTGTTGTCGAAGTAACCTTGTTCGATGCCAATTGGTTCCTCTGTCGGCAAACGCTACTGAAATGGTCTGATTGACCCTCTGAGATTTTTGAGCGTTTGGTAGAAATGTCAGGCTTTCATATGTGAACACAAAAGTCATTGGGTAGTTCTAACAAAGTCCAACAACGCCGACCGTTTGGAATTGTCTAATTCCATTTCCAGACAGTCCCAAACAGTTTACTGCGACAGCTCAGCTTTAATTTGGTTGTTTACGTTTGAATGACCACTATGTAAATGGAATGCCCACCAACCTGTAGAGATAGATGGGACTGTTCAGTTGCGCCCAGTGAACAGAAGAACTAGGCAGCATACCTGGGGTTACTTCATGCAAATTTACTCCGACAAGGCAGCTGAGCTCCGCTTCCATATTTTGTGCACCTTCTCTTAGAATATATTTTTGATACTCAAAGAAATTGATAAAAATGCCTATTTTGACTAAATTACCTGCGACGCATATGGACGGTGAAACTCCTAAACTTCGTATGTAGTTTGCAGTGTCCGAAAATCTCTGCTCCAATTTAATTTTTTTAAAGAGGAATAATTAACGTCACTCTATGAAGCTTTCACAGAATTTAATTGCCTTGCGCAGAGACGAAAAATCACAGACATTTTTAAGAAGTGACGCTGAATAGTTTTTCATTTAAAAAATAAAGCATGCCGATAAGTCTGCTACGTCGCAAACCGCGATACATAGTTTGAGAGTTTTACCATTGATATGTGATACTTGCTGCAAGTATCTAATAGCTAACAAATATCCTTCACTGCGCATTGACCTATATTTTTATTTTCTTATTTTTCTCGTTTGCAGGAGGGCGGAACAAGTTCCGAGTCATCATCCTCAAGTTCTTCATCCTCATCATCATCCACCTCATCCTCGAGCAACGAAAACTCTGGCTCCGACTCAAGTAGCTCCGATTCCGAGTCCTCGTCCTCCGATCGGAAATCCACCGATTCCGAAACCCGTCGCTCCCGGAAATCAGCGTCACCCATCAAGAAGAAAACACCACCGCGCTCCAACAAGCCAGAACCGAAACCAGTTAACAATGTCAAATCAAAGAATTTCCCGGCCACAAAAATGTCAGGAATCTACTCCTCAGAATCGGACGATGATCGGTCCAAGCGGCGCCTCTCCACATCCAAAGGTCCGAAAGCCTCCGCAACCGTCACGCCAAATGTCTCGAAACCAGCAGCCAAACCAAAGGCCTCGGCTGTATCAGCAGTTAACAGTAAGAAAATCGAGTCAAAAAGGCTGTCTAGTTCTAGTTTGAAGCATGCTGCAACCTCAAAGTCTGAGCCCAAAACGAAGACCAAGAGTATTTTCAGTCCGGATAACAGCTCGGAGAGTGATAATCAGAGTCCTCCGCCCCCGAAGTTGACACCAATGAAGAATGTTCCCGCTGCCTCGGCTTCGAAGAATCTCATCAAATCAAAAATGTCCAAGGCGACGCCGGTGAAAAAAGAGTCTGGTTCTGCATCAGAAAAGTCACGCACCAGTTCTGTGTCCTCTCGCAGTTCAGTTTCCTCAGGTAAATTCTTTTATTTTATTTTTCGGAAGAATTCATGTGAAAGTTTTCCGACTTTGATTCTTTGGGGATGGTTTTGTTTTACCCTACATCCAGGTCAAAATTATCCTAGAGTCTGCCTTTATAGAGAGAGTTGAGACAACGCAGCTCATGGATGTCACAAACGGGAATAAAGATCACACCAATTGAACGTTTTTTGTCATCTTTGATAAACTCATTCCCAAATTCCTGTATTCATTCCCTCTCTCATTCCGTTTGTACCAGTTTTTAACCTTTGCAATCGGTGAAAATTTAATCTCTATTCCTGTTTGTGACACAATGGAGGCGTAAAATCAACCTAAAATACGGGAACCAATCAGAAATGGATTCGTATTGTCTTTACTCTCAGTATAAAAGGACTCTAAATTATCCCTGTTATTCTTGCTGAGGTTACAAATGTACCGCCATCGTTTTTGGATCGTATTTGATACATCGAAATAGGCGTACTATTGCTGAGATAGTATCGATAACAATTGGTTCAACATGTAAACATAGCGTCAAAAGTCAATTGAGTAATCATGTGGGAACAGGTTTTCGTGATTGATTTTTGATTTCATTGAGCACTACATGGCAATGTAAAGTGAAATTGTTAGATATTCCCTCTTTTTCAGCATTTCTAACTTAGATCCTAAAACTTTGATTTGAGGCTAGAATATGTCGAACCACTATCCAATACGATCCATAATATATACAAGCAGAGACTCAGAATCTTCTCGTGAGAATGCGCTTTTAGTAGAATTTCATCATTCTTGAATTACACCTCTCCTCATATCTTGAATCCACTTATCTGTGTGATTTTCATGAAAAATGTATGAGATGAAGGTATCGTAAAAACGCAAGAATTGAAAATTAGATGTATGTCAAGACGAGGAGAAGGGTTTCGAAGGTTTGTCAGATTTCAATATTGGAAGCGCCTTCATGAGCCTTTGAGATTTCCCTGATGTTTTTTTTTTCAGGAATTTATAATTTTTTTCAGAGCCACTTTCACTGTAGATTGATGGAAAATAGTTCTAGTTTCTTTTATGCAAGAATTGCATTTATTTCGTCTCAATGGAGTAATCAAGAACCTCTTTAGGTTAGCCAAATATGTGTTACTTAGGGTTGCAAGAGAAGGAAAAACCTGGAAAAGTCAGTGGGTTTGAAAATAACGTGGAAAGTCAGGGCAAAATCAGAGAATTTTGCTGCGAGTTTGAGAGATTTTTAGAGCTGCGGCTTAACAATTGAAACCTCCGTCGCGCGCCGGTCCTGCGCGTCAGCGTTGCCGAGTTTTCGGGAATTTTTTGAAACAAGGCAACTCTGCCGTGCTAAGGAAAAACACCGTATGGATATTAGAGAGTTGCCAAATTTCCCTTGGTAAAAAATGTATATTTGACGACATTCGTGAAAATTTTTCCTTGAAATTTTCTGATATTTTAGATTCAATTGCGTGCAAAATTGTCTGAAAATGTTGGAAAAAAATATTCACAATTTTCCCTATGAATTCAGTTTTTATCGAAGAAAACTTGGCAACGTCTGAAGGCTCATATGGCGTTCCTCCTTAGCACGGCAGAACTGCCATGAGTACTGAATCCGCGATTTGTTCACAAGTTCAACTTGAAGGGATTTAAATATTAACACGTATCTGCTCCTAATTAGTTTTTTCTGCCTTTTCCTCCTCATTTTTCTTATTTAGGCTGGGAATAATTCAAAATATTTCCAGGCAGCATGTGAATTGTCGTATCAAGGTTATTTACAAAAATCAACTTCATACATACATTTGCGGTGCTTCAAAGTTTGCATCGCTGTTTTGAAATTCATATTTTTCTCTTTTTTTTTTTGGGGGGGGGGGGGNGGAATGATATTGATTTGGTCTACTTCAGAAAAATAAAATGTGAGCGTAGATTTTTAAACACCGCAAACGAGATACGTGGTTTGGTAGTTTCACCGTCGATATGGCGTTCTTCCTTAGCATGGCAGAACTGCCACGAGTACTGAATCCGCGATTTGTTCCCAAGTTCAACTTGAAGGGATTTAAATATTAACACGTATCTGCTCCTAATTAGTTTTTTCTGCCTTTTCCTCCTCATTTTTCTTATTTAGGCTGGGAATAATTCAAAATATTTCCAGGCAGCATGTGAATTGTCGTATCAAATTTATTTACAAAAATCAACTTCATACATACATTTGCGGTGCCTCAAAGTTTGCATCGCTGTTTTGAAATTCATCTTTCTCTCTTTTTTGGGGGGGGAGAAGTCAGGGAATTTCTGCGCCAGTCATCAGCGAATTTTCCCGAAAAGTCGTGAAATTTTGAAATATTTTATTAAATCTGCAACCCTGCGTAAGAACTTTCAGCTGTTGCTAAATTTCTTTTGATAAAACACAGATTTTCTGAGAAATTGTTGGATTATTTCTTCTAATTTTTCAGAGAAGTTCGTTCGCAATTCGTTCGAAATCCTATGGACCTTTAAAAAAAAAAAATTCATAACTTTCCTTAAAAAATAGGACGTTATCAATGGAAATTTGGCTACATTCTAATGTTCATATTACGTTTGTCCTTAGCATGACAGTACGTGTCCGTCAATTAATTGATACAACCTCAATTTTAAGCAAATAATATGTCTAATAAGAGACATTTGGCAACATTTGAACGTCCATACGGTGTTTTTACATAACATGGCAGTATGTGTATGTCAACTGATTGATAATTCCTCAAATGTAAGGAGTAGGTTCTCACTGTCCATACAAGCAATATACACGGCAATGATGTATATGAACCAGAATTAGCAAAGGGATGAGAGTTTGAAAGCGGCCTCTATGTTTCTAGCTTTGCGTTAAAGTTTCCTTAGAAGGCCCTCTCTTACTTTCTATCTCCATACAAGCTGAGCACAAATCAATGAATCGTATATGGACTGAAATAAGCCGAAGGAAATGAGATCTTGAAAGTGACGTCTATGTTTCTAGCTGAGCGTTGAAGTCTCTCCGGAAATCCCTACCATATCGTCCATGTGCAGCTAGCCAATCGGTGGATGCAACTTAATTAACTTCTGTGTTGTGATGGGTTGCATCACTGAATTTGAAGGCGAACCAGCGGCGATTTCGTTTCCAAACGACAGGACTAGGGACGAGTCGCCGCGACGCAGCACTCCGACCAATCCGCTTCACTCTGTTGTGCCAAGAAAAAGCGCCGTATGAACCCTCAGGCGTTGCCAAATTCCGTTTGATAAAACGCGAATTCCCTGGTAAACTTAGGAATATTTTCCTCCCAATTTTTCAGATAATTTTTTTCGAAATTTCGCCTAAAAATTCTTAACATTTAAAGGGAAAATATTCATAACCTTCCTCAAAAATAAACATCGGATCGAAGGGAATTTGGCAACTCTCGAATGTTCATACAGCGTTTTTCCTTAGAACGGCAGTACGAATCACCGTTATTCTTACTCCGCAATGAGAAGGATTTGTAGTGAAGGGATGAAAACTGTACTGCCTTGCTAAGGAAAACTGTGCTATCAGGGTTGTAAGGGTCCGGGAAAATGTGGAGTAGTCAGGGAATACGAAAACATCCTGAAAAGTTATGACCTTTTGGCATAAGACGTGTAATGCGATGGCAATGTGTGCGTGGAAGTACACCTACACGTTGCTAAATTTTCTGGGGGAAAATGTCTTGTTTCTTAAAAAACTAATGTTTTGTTTTTTTTTTTGTAAACTTCACGGAAAATTTTACACATATTTTTGATCTGAATAACTAAAAGAAAGCTATTCACATTAATTCATCAGAGTTAAATAATTTTTAATTGCCTAATCACCCAAAAACTGCACGGTTTATAATACAAAATTGTATGTTATGCGCTGTTGGGCGTGAAACCACAATTCGACCTCCTAGGAGCTCGGTGTGCCTATTCAATTCATTGAAGGCGTTTCGATTTCCCGTCGCGGCATACTACCGTGTAACTGGAAAACAATTTTGCACACTATAATACATGTTCTTAGGGTTTCACCATTCATGTGTCCGAGAGCATGGTGGGTTGTACATGTTTTTATCCTCCGAAGAAAAATGTATTTTTGCAGTAGAAATGATTAAGTGCCATCTAACCATTTATCTTTGTCTATTCTCATTGACCTTATATTCCAGTGCACGACATTTTTTTTCAATACTGCAAACTGAAAGTATGACAGACATTTTAAGAACCAAAAGTAACTCGAGGATACGATGAGCGTGAACCTCACTTTCCTCCTGTCGTGCTAACTGCCAAGGAAAAACGCCGTATGAGCATTCGAGTGTTGCCAAATTTCTTCTGATGAAATATTTATTTTTGAAGAGTGTTGTGAATATTTTCTCTTAAAATTTTCAGGTAATTTAGCTCCAATTAAGAATGAAATTCTTATATTAATATTCGACGGAAAGTATTCAAAAATTTCCCTGATATTAATATTCTATTGAAGGAAATTTAGCAACGTCTGAAGGCTTATACGGTGTTCTTCCTTAGCAAGACAGCCTCTACGTATTAACCATCATGAAATTCATCGGAGCTTTGCTTGTAACCTGCAGTCATCCAGTAATACCGGAGGAAAATATTTTTTTTGGGAATCGCCAGCTTTGTTTTGAAAACATGAGCTTCTGTTAATCAGCTATATCGTGAGATTATATTCATATTCGTGATTGTAGATGGCTCGACAAGGTATGAATTTAAGCATTATGAGACATCTTTCCTGACGCTAATTTCACGTAGAATACTCTTAGCACAATGAAAATTGCTGAAATCAACTCCTAATAAAGATACAAATGGTTTTAGGTTGCATTGGTCACGGAAAATTTGAATTTCACGTTCTCAAGAAAAACATTAAATTGCTTGAATCAAATTGCCTACTACAACGGGTTTGTCAGGCTTCCTTCTTCAACATTTCTTCTCCGTTTTGTATTGTTCAAAGTGTTAAAAATGTGCGACGACTGAGGGAAAGAACCGAGATTGAGGTTGCTCTATTTTCATACAGCAGACTGCTCTGGTAATTTTCAGTGCGAGATTTGACTCACTTACACTCTTGTCCTTTCTTGAGCGGGTGGATTGAATTTTTGCATCAAAAAACGTTAAAATCTTCACTGAAAAAAAAAATTCGTGGGTATTATTTTGACTGAAAGCGGCGTTTTTTGTCGGGCAATTTTTTTTTTTTTTTTTTTTTTTTTTTTTT